GAAGCGCATGACATCAGACATACAAAAAGAATCTGAGGGAAGCCACGCTTTTAAATTGAGCGCCAAATCGATCTAGTTTTTTAAACGAATTTCGGTGAGCGTATTTACAGAGGTATAATATGGTAGTGCCTTTGTTTAGCTAATGCACGAAATTATTGCTTCACTTAGTAAAGGAGCATAGAAACAAACAAAAAAAAAATCTGCATTTTCTATACTTCGATTCCGTGTAAACCAGTAATGATTTTTGGGTTACTGCCGTTTTTAGTTTGATAAACTGGAGAGGGGATATCCAATTAATTTTGCTTACTTTCTAATGCAGCTTTTCTCGCATTCTTTATAAACGCCACAGTGGCATAATATGCCATTCGATAATTTCGCACAAAAAAGCTCAACGTAAATTTGTTAATAAAAAGAATATATTGTTTTGTTTTTACTTGAAAGAGCTTATATTTTCATTCAATGAATTCACCCTGCTGTACTTCAATTTCACTGCGATTCTTGGATCATATTTTTCTACCTTGCACTTGGAACCAATTGTTCCGGGACCATTTTCTTTTACTCCCGCTTTCAGTGCTACAGAACAAAGTACTATATGTATGCTGACTAACCATAACAGGTATAGCCATATAGCCTCCTCTATATACTGACAAAGCCTGGCATATCGTCACGTGGCGCGGCCGCCGAAAGTGAAAAGGTAGAGCGGCAGACAAGAGTCTTCTAACGGGCGCCCCGCTGCGGCGAGACGCCGAAACTCAATTGTCCCGAGCGATGGAATGTCCGCTCGTGCTTCTCGCGTTCCTCGGGCTACCGCTTCTTTTCTCGTCGGGTTTGAAAACCGTGTTTCGGGACCTCGCGGCTACAAAAGCTGTGCGCTGAATACCAGACTCCCCGAGAAATGCTATGTGCTACCAGATCCTCGCGCTCTAGATCTGCGACCGGGCACTCTATGGCTCCGTCACAGAACTGCCAGGCTTTGGCGTAGCATGTTCCCACAAATGTCCAACGCTCTGGTGATATTAGGGAGTGAATTGAGAATACTGAATTTCGAAAAGGTAAGGCAGAAATGTCTTTTTTTCCCTCTCTTACAATACCAACCCTCCGTGTAAAAAAAGAAAAAAGAGGTAATTTCGGTATGATGGAAACCGCCACTATGGTGTTGACCAGCATAAGCAGAGGAAGTCTTTCTACCTCAACCAAAACTTGAAATCCCGGTGAAGATTACATGCACGCGTACACGGTCAGAAGATCTTCGTCATGCTCATCTGAATCTTCAAGAACTTGCACGTGGCGCTCCGGAGTCTTTTGGTACACGTTTGCTACACATCGTCTACAGATGTTCAGTTTTTGCGCAGCGCTTGCAGCGGTATACCTTTTGAAACGGCAGTGTCGATTTTCAATCTCATTTCCGCAGCGACAACAAGTCTGTGCCACAGTATGGCACCCATTCTCTTGGGACGTGTTGTCCGGGTATCCCCTGTTATTTACAGTTCCCAACCACCTTCCGCTGAACTGCAATTAGGAGCTTGGTGTCTTGGTGCATATTCGCCGCTTGTTTTGCCGCAGCTTCCTTTTTAACGAGCAAACTTGTAAGTTGTAAGCTGCCGCAAAGGTCAGTTTGTCTTCAGCGAAAGCGCCTTCTGAGTTTCTTCGTCTCTCAGGCCGGCGACAAGCCCGTCCCTAAAGCCGGGGTTACGTTGCTCATACATCATACAAAAAAACAGTCTGCAAACACGAGCTACAGCAATATCCGTGGTTCGAATGCCGCGTGCCAAGTTTCCTCCTTGAACTCATTGCCAAGCGGCAATCGAAGCACGGATCTCGCGGTGACTCACGTTCGAATTGGACTTGAAAAATCGAGCCAAAAATCGAGCTGTAAAAGACTATCAAGTCTTTTACAGCTTCATGTTCTAGTCGACACCGTGTATTGAACTTACACGCTGTGGACCGCAGTGCCCCTCTAAAAGAAATTTCAGTTCGAGATACGTCTCACAACACGGCAAGTCTGACGCTGCTAAGTTCTTGAGGACTTTGTACGGTTGATCACCGGTAACTGTTAGAAACGTTGCTGCCTTTTTTTCTTCCTTGCTCGAAACGTTCGACGTAGGTCTCGAAATTATGAGGGAACTCGTCGAGCTCGTTCATCTTGATGCGACATACTGCTTCTGTGGTGGTCCTTCCAAGCGTTGCTCTTCTCGTTTCTCGCTGGGATTTTTGGCTTAACAACGTGGCAGCCATGATCCAGGTGGTCACCGTTCCTCCCTGAAGTTGCGATGAGCTTCGGTGTCAGGTAACCAGTATACCCTCGCCATGCAATGTTGCATCGTGAGCGAGAGAGCCAAGACCAGTACGTTTGTTTCGGAGGAACGCTCGAGCTTTAATAACGAGTACGTGCCGAGCGCGAGTAGTGGCAGCTAGAAACCATTCAATCCTGTGCGGCCGTTGTTCTCCATGTACACGCCTCGCCAAGTGATCTGATTGCACCAGGAAGATCGAAAAAGGGTTTCGGGAATGTTCACCCCGCGGAAGTGCTGAGAGGCTGCACTCCCCAATGCTTTGTTATATATAACCACTGCGCGAAATGCTCACGCATTTCTACAAGAATTAGCGCGTAGAGGCCGCAACAATTTAAGCCGACTTTTTGTAATTTTTTTTTTTTTTTTAATTAAGGTTTTAGAGGTTTTTTTTTTTGCCATTTTGGTGTATAGGCACGTTCACATTCTTGCGACCGAGTAAGACCGAGAGAGACCAGACCGGTTTTTCAGACTTTTGTGACTTCTTAGGACCGGATGCGCTGCAGCGGAGCTGGTCCTAAGAAGTCGCAAAAGGCTTAAAGGGATACTACAACGAAATTTCGGTGCTCATTTTTTGGTCTATATGTGTTCAAAAAAGCACCATCAAATCGAACATACCAATATCTTGTTAAAAATGTCACGAAAAGAAATTTTAAAACGAATTAAACGATTAGCAAAGAGCACCTGGTGGATGTCGCTAACGCCTCGCTTGTAATGCCCGTCTAGCAACCTTGGCAGCTAGTGACGGAGGTTGTCTCGCCTCCGGCCACGACGAGAGAAGAGGGGCAGGAGGAACTCGCCTCTTCTCGAGAATGCCTTTTGTGTGTCACAGAAGTCGCTATTGTCCCCCTACAAGATTATAGAAGATTAACCCGTCACTCAAAATTTGTACAGAAGCAGCCGCTTCGGTGGCTGGAACGACTAGGCCATCCTCTCGACGTCAGCCTCGCCGTAGCTTTGCGCGTCTTGAGACGACCTACGTCACGATTGCGTTGGATGTCACGTGGTCTCCGCTGGGCCTTCTCCGAGCGCTTTCCAGAGTGGGCCGTTTATAACGAAAAATACAGCCACCAGGCTCAAAATACAAACATGCGATTGTCATTTACGGATATTGTGGATCATATTCAACCTATTTTTGAACACGACGGGAATATTTCAAATTTCGTTGAAGTATCCCTTTAAAAACCGGTCTGATCTCTCTCGGTCTTACTCGGTCGCAAGAGTCCGAACGGGCCTTATTTATCTAAGAACCGAAGTTTTGCGAAAAAAATATTCAAGAGGAAAAGCTTCATTTTAGGTAAGTACCAAAAAGCTAAACCTTAGCTGTAGCTCCCCCGACCCACTGCTCTGTTGTCTCGTTTCTTAGTCACGCAGTGGTTCTCTTCCATTGATGTTTTGCGGACCCGTTGTGGATCGGCGGAGATGATGGAGGACACCGTTCGTTGTGAATGAAACGAAAATGCATAGTTTAAGTATGATAATGGTCTAATAAATGTATTTAATGAAGGGCTGTGTGAAGTAGACCTCTCTAATTGATGTACACACGAGAAAGCTTACGCGAAAATTGGAACGTTTCTTCTCAATCTGAGCAGAGACAACTCTTTTTGGCGGATTTGACTGATGAGGCATGGCTTTGCGGACCCCTAGAATGCCTTCGTGGATCGCAAAGGGTCCGGGACCCCCATTTAAGAACCACTGCCTACGTCTGACGCCCCCTTCGTTTGTTAATTACATCACAAATGATGCTAACAACCTCAACCCACTGTTTCCCTCCAACCGGAACAGTCCAGTTGCTTTCTGCCATCTTCTCGACCCAGTCACATGTCTTTTTTCCCCTTTAATGAACAATGAAATATTTCTCTTAAAAAAAAAACAAAAAAAAAAAAAAAAAAAAAACAGTCCTCACAATGCTTTCGGGAAAAAGAAATCCTGTATTTTTAAATAAAATGCAAAAAAAAAAAAAAAATTAGTTGTATACATATTAAAAAGAAATCATAGCATAATAAGCATCATATAAGAAAATCTAAATTGTAAAGGAAACTTTGGCTGTGTGTGTTTCTCGCGTTAAAGTTAAAAAGGCGCCTTGAAGGAACGAAACCAAAACTGAGCAAAACGAAACAGGTGGATGAAGCTTCCCACGATGCACCACGTCTAAACTTTCTTTTGTTCTGCTTGTTTCTGCTGGTTCTGTTCCTTCTGTTCGCTTGTTCTTGTGTAATCGCTGTCGCTTAGTCACGTTTTTTTTTTTTTTTTTTCTTGGCACATTTATTATTTTTACTGGTTTCTCGGCACATGCTTTTTCAAGGTTAGTTTCGACTGTATAACCTAATAATAAGTAAGAGTAACTGTGTTGACCGACCGTGTTGCTCTAAACAGCGAGGAAGTTTTGGGAAGCTGCCAAGTTGCCTAAAAAGTGCCGGCGGTAAGCACGCAGGTTTGATACGGAGTTTGTGGAACCGTTAGATTGTTACCGCGACCTAAACTTTATCACTTGGGTGTGCCAAGTATCACCTTAGAGTTGCAGCAGCAGCGGTTGTTGTTGTTTAAAGTGACCGGGAAATGTTCGAACCAGTGGCTGTCTACGGGCGGTTCTTTCCAATCTGTTAAATGTCTACCGGCTGTCTTATCCGTTTGTATCTTTCTGGCCAACTCCGAAGGAAGGTTGATACGTTTTGTGGTCGGTCTAAACCGTCTTTATCGCCTCAGCCGCCTGCTGATAGCTCCGGCAGATAGGTGCATGCTGACTACGGGCGAAGCTAGGAGAAGTTTAACTTGGTGCTGACGTTCGGCACTTCGTGGCAAACTGTTTCAGATGGCTCTCGTCAGGAGCTGCGCTTGCTTGAAGCGTCCACCGCTCACGTTCTGGACGCAACGCCGCAAGTTCTCTCGAGGTAATTAAACGGTTTTGTCGTGTTGCTTTCACGTCCCCCATCGGCCGAGTCGTCCATCAGTTTTGTGTATAATACTGTATCAGTGATGGAGGCAGCATAAATTAGGAGCACCTGCACTTGTAATCAACTTCGAAATCTTTACAAGTCAGGGCAAATCGCGAAATCGTCTGCTATATCTTTTTCTTTCTTGGTTTACGTTTGTGAGAAGACTTAGATGTAGCTTCTACTCTAGTTTTGTTAGTACGTTTAGAATCACAAAATATAAGTGAATACTTCAAATGGTAGTTCTTTTTTTAGCTCCCAGATACGGCCGCACCATTGTTCTGTTTATTTACTGCTTTAGACTTCTTTTCCTCTCCGTATTATGGCTGTCATTCGAAGTTACCAGATTAACGTTTCTCGTTGTACCAGAACTGGTCGTGCTGTCGGATGAGGTGTCGACTGCCCTTCGCCAGGGGGAACCCGTGGTTGCCTTGGAAAGCACCATCATCACACATGGCATGCCTTATCCAAAGAACTTGAGGTAAGCCTCCAGTCAGAGCTTTCCTGACACGTTAAAGACTGGTTCACATGCAGCAAATACTTATAACGGAGTGCGTTAAAACCTCTTGCAGTCTCATTATGACGAGAGCACACAGGCGACATGTATCGGGTGGCTGCAGAACACACTTGTCATTTCCGTATATTTCCTACTTTTTTTCGTGCATCATTCTTTCTTGACACGAAAAACGTTAGACAATGTTATAAACGTCCATTTCTCGTAGGTGTTGCATACATTTCGTTTTACAAATACTACATAACGTTCAATATAGTGAAATGCATCCTAAAATACCCGAAACATTCTAGGGCGGCCAATGTCCCTATTAAAAATCCAATTAAAGATTGCGCCATGTCCTTGAATGTAATTTCCATTTTTTAGGACGCTTAGAGCCCATAGTTAAGTTATGACAACAAATATATCTCAGAATCCACTTCAGTGCCCTTTTAAAGGGATGTTGAACCCAAATATGAACTTCACAAAATAAAGCCGCAGAAGTGTTGATCGGGATGCTACAAACTCCAAGACATCGCTCATACATCGATATCTCAAATGGATGGCCATATTTTTAGAAAAAAAGAGCGTGATCAAGCGAGGTATGTGACGTCACAATTCTCCTGGAACAATTGAGAATGAGGGGAAGCGGCCTTGTTTCGCTGCCCCTCGCTTTGGTTCACCTGCCCGAAGGTACGAAGTGAAGAGAGGAAATAGGAATTGCGACCCCACATGCCTCGTCGGCCATGTTCAGTTGAGCATTTTTCCAAACATACGGCCATCTGTTAGAGATATCGCTGTATGAGGGATGCTTTCTGGGTTTGGCAGCGCCCGCCTATCGCTCCAGCCTTGTTTTGTGAGCTCCAAACTACGGTTCACCATCCTTTTATCATCCTATAGCTGCCATGGGCAACAGGAAAGTTTAAGCATCATAAGTGGAGGGTTTATGGGAACACGCTATATCCCCTTTTCTGTTTCCAGCACAGCGACGGATGTCGAAGCCACTGTGAGGAGCAGGGGAGCCATTCCAGCCACGGTTGGCGTCTACCAGGGTCGTCTACACGTTGGTCAGTTGTTTACACTTTGGTTGGAAGCGTGCAGTTGTGGCAGACTGCCTCTCGGGACTTGTTAACTTGGAGTAGAGGAAATCTCGCAACCTTTACTGGTGGGACTTGACATTTGGAAACGAGCTGTGAACGTTGGAACTCAGTTCTTTACCTTTTCAGTGGTGCTGTTGATGTTGTGTCCCTGCATTATTTAGGAATGTTTATTTGAGAACTTAAAGTTGTTCAGTTAAGTGAAGCCAGTGTTGATTCACTGGTATTAAGAATACACGATTTCTGAAGTATCTAGAAAAAGATGGTAGGTGACCATTGACCTTTGTTCTCAGTTATAATTTCTACATGTAGGATAGGAGCTGGAGGGTTCTTTTTCAGTTTGAATCTCTACTTCTTTTCAGGGATGGGAAGTCAACTTCTAGAAGAACTTGCCAAATTAGGGGACAAGGCTGCCAAGATATCCCGTCGTGACCTACCTGCGGCCCTTTCAAAGGTTAGAAAGCTTGCCTAACAAAGTATGCTTATTCACTGTGCGAGCGCTGTAGGTTGCCAAAGGTGTCTACATGAGTAATTTGCTTCTCTTTCAACCTTAATTTACCCCATGATTACGGGGACACTGACAGGGTATTTATGCTCACCAAGGTTTTTATTTGAACATGACTTATGACAGCCCAACTACCCAGAAAACAATTTGCAGCTTGGAATTTGGTTTCTTTCCATCCGAAAGCCGCCGGTCGAGAATTGGCCGGTTTGACACACGCTCACTCTCTTTTCTACGGTCAGATGCTGTTGAAACTAGTGTACCAAATATATTTAAAGTCGTGGGCCATCTGAGGCACAGATTCAATATTCAGAAAAGAAAAGAATATGAAACCAAGGGTAGAAACACAGGCAAGCTGGTGTAAAAATAAAACACACGAGGTCTCAGTTGAGACCTTGTGTGTTGTGTTCGTTTTTTTATCGCTTCTCGTCTTGAATTTGTAATAGAAATATGAAACTCATTTTTTTGTGGCTTCCAAGAAGCTGCAAATATGTTGGTTGTAAACAAATGTTGCATAGATCACAGGGACTACATGTGCTACGTCATTCTCAAATATGGCGACGTACCGGGAACTGAACGAAGTGATGGCAGTGCAGGACATACCAATGTTGTGATGGACAAAGGACTGCTACTTTGGAACCGTGGTTCGCGGTACCGGCAAAAATCTTTAAGCACGGTACAGCGTTCGGAACTGATAAAAGTGCAAAGCCTTCACGCCACAAACAATGTATGCAACGTCTTCGTCGTCTGCTTCACATGCCAGAGAAGCAGAGGACTGGAAGAAAAGTGGGTAGGGAGTGATAGCCACGTGACTTCTGGCAACTCTCTCCGTCCACATTTCCCCTTCCTCCTCGGTATGCTAGTCAGCAATTTGCCTCCATACATATATTTTGGTTTCGGAGCAATTGAGTGTTGGGGCTTTATTAAAAAGATACGGGACTCTGAAGCAAAACATTGATTGGTATAGTGTCCAGACGCTGTATTAAATTGCCTGGCAAAAAAATTAAAAAATTTTTTTTGGGCGGTGTTGATGTCCCTTTAATTCAATTTGAGTCTGTCTGTTTTATATGAAGATTGTTTTGCCCAGGGCCTTTCAGGGGGAACAACAGTCTCGTCGACCATGGTTGCTTGCAACAGGGCTGGAATCCAAGTTTTTGTCACCGGTGGCATTGGGGGAGTCCACAGGGGTGGGGAGTCAAGTGAGTTGTTGTCAACCCTGGAAGCTGTTGTTGCGGGCTGGAATATTGTCGCGAGGGTGTTCACAGATCCGCTATCATTGACCACCTCATGAAAGACTAGTGATGGACCGAATCTGCCGAACTTCAGATTCGGCAAAGTCCGGCAAATGCCGAACTTTTGCAGGAAAGTTCGGCAAAGATTCTGCAAAAATTCGGCAAATGTCTGCGCACGCGCGAGAACGCGACGGAGCCTTGGATTGCAAATGGATGCCGTGCAGTCGTGCGGTTGCCATCGTGCAGTGTAGTGCAACCAGCAGTTACGGCGCAGTGTGGGGTAGGCAACACGGTAACTGTGCGTTTGTGAGCGAGTGTGGTTCTCTTCAATATTTTCTGCCTCAAGAATAGAAGATCGACCCGTATTTACGTAGCCTACTGCGCAAGTGACAAATGATGCGGTGCATTCTGAAACATTCAGGCATTGGGCGACAATAAAGCACTCCTTGCAATTATAACAATTCTATTTTCGGCTCAGGAGTATTCCAAAACAAAATAATATTGCTTTTTCAATTAGTGTTATTTCGCGATTTTCATGTATCTGCATAAAACTAAACACAGAACTACAATGCTCGACGTTGCACATCCGGCATTCACTCTCCCTATCTTCCTAACGTTTGCGTGCGTCCTAACACCAGAAACGGGCATTTTAAAGGTTAAAAACGAGACTTTGCGAATATGCTACGCACACTTTCATGCAAAGCTGACGTCAAGTGACTCAAATCGAAGAACATTACTATTTACAATATTATTATTCTCTCTTCTGGTGAAGGCTCAGCAACTGTTGCATTCGTTTTTGCGCGCAAAACGGTGACTCCCAGAGAAAGCAAGAACGCAGCGTTATTGCCTTCATTTTAGCAATGTACACACACATGTAGGCTTGCGCTGATGATGCCTCAAAACCGAAACTCTCATAGCGTGATTCGTGACTGCGCCACGCTTGCTTCTATCCAACCTCGTTCTCACGCCACTTCTGCAAGGAGTCACTAAAATTGCCAGTAAACACACAAAAACGACACCGATACAATTATCTTGCAGAATATCACCTTATTTAGTAAACATGTTGCATTTAAGTTAAGAAAAAAAGAAACATAAAACCTTTTTTTAGCCAGAAAAAAAACGAAATATCAACGAGTCTGGTAACAATGTATTTTTGCCGAATCTTTGCCGAATCTTTAAAAAAGTTCGGCAAAAGTTCAGCTTTGCCGAATCCCAAGATTCGGCACCGAACTTTCGATTCAGAAAAAGTTCGGCCCATCACTATGAAAGGCTTGCAATAGGTGTCGGGTAACTTTCAGGTATCTTTTAAACTAAAATCTGCACAAACAAGACGAAGGACCAGAGAAGACTTGAGCGGAAGTCAGCACTCTGGTATAGAGATCTTGTCTGAAGAATTAAATCTTTAATAATAATGCCGTTGTGTGATCATTTCATTGCTTATAAACTTTGTCTATCCGAAACACTTGTGTTGTCTGGCAGCATATACTATTGCAGACGATACAGGTCTGAACAACTCGCCATGCTTTCTTGATGTATGTTCCAGTTTCTGGCGACATTCTGGTTTAGTCTAGGCCGAAATGTGACGTTTTGTTCTCGATCTGTGAAGTTCTCGGACCTTCACAGATCGAGAGAACTTGCGGGGGTTGGCGGCCGTAGCAAATGGCAGACCTAGTGTTGCAGCTCGCGTGGTCTCATCTGGCTTTAGGAAATGGGTGCTGCTGATGAGCCCTTATGGATGTGCTGAACAGCAATATTTTCTCTCCTTTGTTTTCAGCTCTGGACATCAGCGCTGATCTATCGGAACTTGGTCGCACTCCCGTGGCCGTTATCTCGGCTGGTGTAAAGTCCATTCTCGACATTGGACGGACCCTTGAATTCTTGGCAAGTGTTGTCATTGCTCGGCACAAATCACGTTTCGAATATGTAACTCTAGAGCACTGAAACCCTCAGAATCTGCTTGCTCATCTTGAATGACTTTGCAATAGACCTAATGTCAAAATTGAGTCTTGGATAAGCCTCGCACACGGTTCCACATGTTCCGTACATCTCGCCATTCACCCTCCTCTATTTTACTGGTACGGGGGATGTGGATGAACTTAGCGAGGCTTACGCTTAAAGTTTGCATTTTAAACTGGAATGTACATTATACTTGGTGTAGTGGTATATTTTGCATTGTAATTAGTGCAGTGGCTTCTACTGTACTGATTAAATTTTGTGCACTAGCTAAGGGGGAGTTACTGTACTGCTGTAATTGTACTTGGCATCAACTATCTTGGTCAAGGCCACTACTGTGAAAGCTTGTTGCGCTAGTGCATGTGAAGGAAGGTGAAGCTACGTGCTCTCGCAACAGTTTGGGGCTCCAGCACTGTGGAAGCTATGCTAGCCTTGACAATGTAGCACAGAATAGTTGACGCTGAGTGTAGTAAGGTAGCTTCCCCTGTATTGCATCTTGCACCATAATTGATGAGGCAGCTTCTGCTTTTACTAATTATATTTTGGACCACTGCACCGATTATATTTTCTGCTATTAGTAATGCGACTTCTACAATACTAATTGTGCTTTGTGCTAAAGTTAGCAGAGTGGCTTCTACCATACTAATTATATTTTGACTACTCGCTCACTGGTCCTGCGTGGTTGGACATAGCAGACCGTTTCCTTTTGGGAACTTTCGTCGCGGACATTTGGCGCTGGGTTTTAATTACCTGGACTGTTGCGCAGGAAACGGAAGGCGTGTGCGTGGCGGCCTTTGGAGACTCTCAGGACTTCCCGTCTTTCTTCACGTCTCGGAGCGGACACCACGCGCCCTGGAGAGTGGCCAACGCCTCCGACGCTGCCGCTATGATTGGTCGGTATTTTTTCAAACATTCGTCACGCTCGAATCGTTTGCTTTGATTAGTGTGTCGAGGTTTTATCCTCTAGGGTGCTGTTTTCCTAGCTCCTGTTCAGTTATGAGACTGAGGGAAGTATCTAAATTTGCAGACTCTATGTATTTTGTCGATAATAAAGCGGCTGAAGTGTGCCAAAAAGAATGAAGAGCCTGATGTGAAGCATTTGAATGCCCATGTTTGGAAATTTCAAGTTTGATTCAAACTGTGCGTCCTTCGGGGCTGCTGGAAAAGTATCCCGGTCTTTTTTATTTGGTCGTAACGAGCGCCTTGACACGCACCGCGGGGAAGGTACTCCCGTCAAAATTGAATTCTGCTGGCATAGGGCTCCAGTCACTAATACTGTGTGGTCAGTGGCAGTTCGAGAATGGCGGGGAAGTTTTTCACGTTTCCCGCCTCCGGTGCATGCTTCGTTCCATAACACTTTGGCATCTCGTGAGCTTCAAGCATGCACTCACAGCCTGTGCATGACAGAAGGCCACGGGCACGTGCCAGAGGCCGGGCATTCAAAAGAGACAACCTGTCATTCTCATTCTTTCGGAGAACACATAGTTAGAAACATGAGATAAACAACAAAGTGCTCAGCGTGTGAAGCGAGTAATCCGAGTAAGACACGAGTTAAAAGAATGGTCTTTCCAGTTGAACTTATGTAAATTGTCTTATGGTTTCTGGGATATTCTCTTTTTCCTTTCCTAGTTTCATGCTAGCTGCCATGCTACAAAATCATGTAAAGGCAGCCTGCTGGCTGCCAGGCCTTGCATACAAGCACCGACATGCTTTTGTGGGCCAGATAATGTACAGGGTGTTCGGAAAAGAGATTTTTATTTAGGTTTTTTCAACACAAACATGGGCCACGCATCACCGAACGTTCATTCTCCACCCAAATGTAGCCCTAGTGGTCAAAACTAGATGTCAGGGTTTCATAACTAACCGTTATCTTGTTCCAAAATTATTAACAATTTTCTTAAATTTTCAATGAGGAAACGACGGCTGATGGACCTCTCGAATATATGGAGCTGAATGGCCCCAGTTACCGAAAACGGGAAAAAACAAGCCCTATTTTCCCATCAAAATCTTCAGAAAATCGCATAGCTTATGAATGACATGACGGTTAGTTGTGAAACTTCGGCATCTGGTTCGTACCGCTAGCTTTACATTTGGGCAGAGAATGAGCGTTTGGCATTGCATAGTTTATTTTTGCAGTGAAAATAACACTAACTTTTTTTGTTGGACACATCATACAATACAAATGTTTGCAATAAAAACTAGTTATTGTTATCATTATTATTTTTCGGTAGCATATTTACTATCGGGCGTCCCGACGTATTGACGCACGCTGAAAGATGGCAAGCACTCCGGGAAGATGCGGCAACTGAACAGCACGCATCACTGCCTGACGTCTCTTGCTAGCTGCGGATGTCCTTGGATTTTTAACGATCTATCTTGTTGCACTGGAAGAACTGCCATAGTCCCGTTCCATTCTTCCGCAGCCAGCCGCAATGCTCTGCACTTGGACTCTGGCATCCTGATTGCTGTGCCCATTCCCAAGGAATTTGAGGCGGACGGCGAGTCTGTCGAACGGGCCATTGAGCTCGCCGCTCAGGAGGCGAAGTAAGGTTGCCTTTTTTGTCCGGTGGGCTTCGGTTCCTGTCCTTTGGTATCGTGCAGAGGGGGAACTGGCTTAATTTGCAGCTTCTCGTTTATAACAAGTTCTTGGAGACCTTTGAGTTGAATAGCCCGAGGAAATGGAATCTTTAGAGATGAAGCTGATGTCCTAAGGCTTGATGATAGGTTTGGCTTTGTATTTATTGTCCAAGAAATCGACAGTTTATTGTTTTGTAAGAGTGTCTTTTTCTGTGCTCCATGGTGCCGTACAGTGAGAACTTTGCAAGAAACTACAGTAAAACCTCGTTATAACAAAATGGGATATAACAAACTAATGGATATAAAAAAAGCAATCATAATTCCCCTTGCTTGTTAATAGTGGGAAGAAATGGACAGTGGCTATAACAAACTAATGGTTATAACGAAATAATTACGACCGCTCCTTCAACTTTGTTATAACGAGGTTTTACTGTAGCTTGTGTGAGCCGAAAATTTCTAAAAGTGTTTTTTTGCAAATTTCCGTTTGTTAGATTTGTTATATGGGTTGGTATACTTTGTTTCATACTTAGCATACAGCGCTGTCAAAGTTACTGGCGAGCGAGTGTGGCTTCATCTATGGTTTCTTTTGCGTGAGAATGCGCGCAAAGGATCTGTGCAAACCCTATGCTCGCACCAGCAGCTTTGACAGCGTTGTACGCTAAGGATGAAACTGAGTGTAGCTTGTGGCTGAAGACGAGTTAAGGCTGGTTCAGACATCAGCGTTGATTGGGTTGCATTGCGTTGCGCTCCACTAGGATGCTTTGCACATGTTGCATGGCTCTCGGTTGCAATGGCGACTTGGCATAGCATATCGTCAAAACGGCCGTAATGTGGTGTGTCATACTCAAAACGAAGATGTTGGAACTGGCCTTTACTCAAATACAGCTCTAGTTGCCGTAAATTGTTCCCAAATGTACAAAGTATCGTGTGGACTAGAGTCACTGAATGTTCCCAGAGTACCGAATTCCATTCAGGCCGCTCACCGGAAGTCAATCCCGCAGAATTCAGTTCCGATTCGCTGGTTTAGCCTGCGGCGGAAGTTATCAGTCTGGCATTTTGGAGATGGGCCCAAATCAACAAAAAATGTATATAAAACATTTTCGCGTTACCGTGGGTACACATGAGTGGGAGTTCTGGGCATCAATGAGTTCGGACCGAAAGGAAGGTCCATGGATTTTTTCTTGTTTTTTTATTATATCAAGTAGCCGCTAATCTGGTTTGCCAAAGAAGATTGTCGGCCCGTTTGCTCGCTCCGGTTGCACTGATGCTGCGTTTCAAACTCTACGCCTCAGACGCTAAGCCTAACACTCGACTTCAATGTGTTCCGAGGCAAGGGAGAGAGAGACGAGACAGCGAGGAGCAAGTCCCGCACTGTTCGTAACGAAGGAAAGAACTTTAATAAAAACAAACCAGTGTTGCCACAGACCAGGAAAGTGGATTGAAGAAGCTGTGCAAGAACGAACGCTACACTGTACGCGCCTTGCTTCGACCGCACAGGGCAGTGCCATGTTGGAGGTCGCGACTGCTGCACCGCGACTCGGTTACTCGGTTCCGAGACGAAGCTTGAGAGTTTTGGTGCTCTGGGGGCATTCATTGACTCTAGTGTGAACCTATCAGCTTATCTACACCTGGATTAAAAAATTTCATACGGCACTATCAAAATATACAAACTTACCAAAGGTTGAGTCCCAGCAACCTCATGAATGTCTGCATAAAACATTTTAGAGCATTTAAACAAATACGTACCAACCATAGTTTAGTCTCTTAGGGGAATCTCTTGGGGCAAGATTCTCCGAGCCCTATCATGATGTAGTGCCCCACCAGGCAGATTTATTAAATTTTCTTCAGTTTTCTCATTTAATGAAGCGAAAAATCGGTGCACATTCCATGGCATCTTTGAAATCGACGAAGCTCGCAATGAGAGCCTACGCTCCCCTTTCATTGCCTGTGCATCTCTGGTTCATGGTGCAGTTTTTCTTTTGGACAGTGAGGACTGCAGGATGGATGGGATGTTCCTCACTGCTGTTGTTTTGTTTCGTGTTCGAACAGGGACGCAGGGATTACCGGAAATGCAGTGACCCCATACATTCTTAACAGGGTGAATGAGGTCACGGGTGGCGCCTCACTTCGATCCAGTATCCTTTTTGTGTACACTTCGAATATAATGGCAAGTTACGCCCTCGGCACTCGACTAGTTTCAAAAGTCTGTCTGGCGACTTTGATAAACTGCGACCCCTATGATGATGGCTTTGCTGCAACGAGCCACCAGATTCTGTAACGGCTCACTGGGCGATTTTCGCTCTACCGTAATATCGCTTCATTGAATCATTTTAGTATATTTAGAACAATTCCCAACAATACTTATGAGGAAGTGTTTAGCATGACATATCACCCAGTGGCATGCTGTAGAATATTTGCTTTTCTGCTACACCTGATTGAACCTGTAAAACCAACCTGCTAGCAGATTTTTATACTTTACGCTATTGTGGGTTAAAAACAAGCATAATAAGCTCCTCCCAAAAAGCACTTCACTTTTTCCACCTTAGTGAGTGAACTCTGGAGACTGGCATTTGCTCGCTGAGATTGGAAGGGTGGATGGCTTTGTTGGAGGTGCCTGTCTTGTTCTTCTTAACCTGCAACGGGGTATAGCAGATTTTTTTTAGTTTCGTCATTTGGTCACTACTTTTTGCTATTACAAAAACGCTGGTCTCCTAGTGGTGCAAAAAGAGTCAAGAGCTTAAGTCGAGGGACAAGGAAACACCATTTGATTTAAAAAGTGTATCGAATCTTGTCAGGCATAACATTGCATTTTGGAACTGCCCCCAGACAACCGCACCAGTTATCAATTGTCCGAATAAAAGTTTAGTTTTATTTGGAGTTGCTCCTTGACGCTGTCTTAAGATGTGGCTCTGATAAAGAACAACGCAGTCGTCGGGTCGGACATTGCAGTGGCTCTTGCCGAACTGGAGAGGAAATCGAAGCGTGCCAATTTCTTCAAGGTTGCGTCGTCCCCAGCAGCTACAGGACAACCGGTAGTTTGACGGGCTCAGCATGTTTCTTTTTTGCGACTGCCACGAATGCCCGACGTCGTTGCTATTTCAAAATTGGTTCTAACGCAAAATGCAAACCCGGGCCACTTTTTTTCTTTTTTCTTGTCTGGAGAGTGTGTTTTGTTTTGCATTCTCAAATAAAAGAAAACAGCAGATCATTTTTTAGACGTTTGTTTTGTAGGTTGTTGCCTTTAGTCTGTTTTGGTTTCGTAAATAGAGCCTGCTTTCAGGCTGTCATCTCTTCTTTGAATTCTAGAGCCTGGAAGGGGTTTTGAATTGGCATGGTGAGCTTTTTGACTATGTTTTTGGATGCTTACACTGGCAGTCAGTGGGAAATGATGTTTTCGTAGATATTAAATTTGTGCGAAATGAGTTAAAAATTTTATGATATACCTGTTGCGTGCAAGGTCAGTTCACATTCAGTGCAGATAGTGGATTTTGAGTTCGAAGCCAATTCAAAATGTATACCGTATTGGTTTTGGCCGGATAATTTCTAATCAAATAGTTTTTTTAAGCCTTTCACCACTGGGCACCATGTTGAAACGAGAACTATATTGATGAAACATGGCTTGTAAACAACGAATTTTCCTGGGTTATCCTAATCGAGGGAATTTTAAGTCTGCTCGGTATATACTAATATTCTTCCGAATTTGACTAGAAAAGGAAAGCAGGAATAATTATTGCGGGCTGTCGAGGCATCGCTGCCGGATGGTCCTTTTGCCGAATTACCCGAGCATCCAAGCGAATGTTGGGAGCAGGGAATGTAGGTACACGCACTGGTGACTGCAGTAGTGAGTGTTCGAAGGCAAAAATTTTAAACGAACAGCACTTTGCACTTGCATTTCTCAATGCATTCTTTTGATCATTAACTTCAAATATTTAACACGGAAGGTCAGCGCATGTACGTATACGTTCCCGGCATTCTTTTTGGTCAGGTTGGCCCCTTTGAGTGCACTTCTCAGGGAGCCCCTGTTCGTGGGAATTGCTTCCCCGCAGTTCACAGGCGCTCGGTGAGAAGCGCACTCAACGCCGCTAACCCGCCGCGATCAGCACTTCGAGAAGTATGAATATTGCAGTTCGTCTTGAAGCGAATGTCCCAGTAGCGCATTATTCTAAAATTCAGATATTTGCACAACACTAAAAAACCACATGGCATCAAAAGTCTTCATTTGTAAGTTTCACTCCAGTCGGTGTATTTTAAGTGCTAAAATGCGATTCTAAATTTTTACATAATCTTGCAATTGTGCAAGGTGCCAGGTGATGGTGAAGCTGCGCATATGCCCATGCCTTTTATGATGCTAGTACCGTACTTTCCTGGCTGTCATCCGCAGTCTATACATGTTTAAAAGTTGAAATTTCAGGCTGTGTGCACTATACAGGAATTTTGTTTTTCAGGATTGTTCATTATGACGTGACGTGAAGGATTTTACGAATGAAAGAGCATGCTAATGGTGATTGATGTATAACACAAGCTGCTTTGTGAGCTGAGAAAGCAGTCATTTGTCAAGGTGTTGTGTACAAGAGGATTTTTGGTGTAGACTAAGCATCAGGTGCGGACTATGCACAGCGTGTGGACGGTGCACCGGGTGCGAAAGCAACAAAAAGTTTTGTTTTTGACCCCAAATTTGTCTCTGCGAACTATGCACCATGTTTCGACTACAGCCCGTCAAATAGGTCCATGTGACTGGCAAGACTAAGTACACACCAGCTAAAATACGATTATGTATAAGTTTTTTGGGGGTTTTATCTTTAACAATGTTTGTTGCCAGATCTAGATAAAGAGCAAAGCTTCATCACCTTCATTACTGTGACACACATTTAAACTGGTTTCATCTTCATTCTTAATGCATATGTAGTGTGCTATCAAGATAAACAAATGGGCAGTTTTTGTGGCATTTTGTCTCGAGCTCGATTCACGTGGTGTAGTTTTGCTCACGATTCGACGGCTGGGATGTCGAGTACCGCAGCTTCTACCACGCTTTCCTTACCCCGCGAGCGACATTCTAAATCGCGAGTAAAGTTGCACCACATGAGTCGGGCAACATATCTTAACTTTCACTAAGCATTTGTGTGCGTGCAGGATTTTTCCAACGGTTAAATTTGATGGACAAACATTTAGCAACTTGATTTCCTTGGCTGATCTCGAGATGAAGATTAATAAAGCTTGGACTTGGGTTTGGGCTAGTTGGTTGTACATTGATAGACGTGCTGCGCTGCAAAGTTCTTTAGAACAAACGCGTGACTAAAAATTGAAATGAAAAGGATGAGTTTACATTGAGATGAGGAGAAAACACAACGAACACAAATGGGCGCAGTTTGTGTTCGTTGTGTTTTCTCCTCATCTCAATGTAAACTCATCCTTTTCATTTCAATTTTTAGTCACGCGTTTGTTCTGTAGAACTTCGCAGCGCAGCACGTCTATCACTGATCTCGACAGAGATTGCCAGTCCTGCTCTGTCGGGGACTGACTGCACCTGCAGGTACCACTGTCCTCTTTCAGGTGGTCGTCGGTGGATCCGTCGTCGATCTTGTTGTCGGCGTCAACGAAAGGATTCAGGTCTGTGCCTGCTTTCATTTTAACCTAGGGCCAATAAAGGCTGGTTCACACACCCGCTTATGGTTGCAACCGAGCGTGTTGCGTAGCCTCGTGCTTCCTGGCGATCGTTCATGACCAGAGAACACGCCACCGCCATTTGTGAAGTAGCCTTGGAACTGCACTTAACTAGCCTCAAGGTTTTGCAGTATACGCACCATCTATGAGAAATATGGTTTTGCGTACCTACCGTGGAAGAATGATGCACCCAAACAAATATACGCAAAGTGGAAGTGTTCCAGAGTACTCAATGCCATTGTGTTTTCTCCTCCTAAGGGATCTCGATGCATACCAGAATGGAAAGTTGGGCTAGTTGGTTTGAATTCATTTTGAAAAACAGCGCGAATACCACACGGACAAGAAGAAGGAACACACAGGACGAGGCGAAAAACAGCGCCTCGTCCTGTGTGTTCCTTCTTCTTGTCCGTGTGGTATTCGCGCTGTTTTTCAAAATGATCTCGATGCAATCGGTCGCAATAAAATGTGAGTGACTGAAGCCTGTCCGTGATGCCCCATTGTTGCATGTAGGAGTAGCGAACAAGACGGCACATGGGGTATTCACGGAACAACGCCTGCTTCATTAGATCTGACTTGATGCCGACCCCCCACGTCTCGAATGCTTTTGTTCTAGAGCACAGCTCTGATACGTTCGTTTCCGGCTTAAGCAATTACGCCATCGATGTTGTCGTTTCCGCGCGTTGCATTATGGGGGCAAGTTTCCCATAATGACGTTGCACTTGATGTCACAAGTGCAAAATTTTCCCACTAAATTTGGTGGGAACTTTTTCCGGTAAATTTTGTGGAAAAACTTCCCCTCTAAATTTAGCGGGGAAATTTTCCCGCTAAATCTAGCGGAATAATTTGCCCGCTATATCTAGCGGAAAACTTTCCCCGCTATATCTAGCGGAAAACTTTCCCCGCTAAATCTAGCGGAAAAATTTCACCGCTAAATCTAGCGGAAAAATTTCCTTGCTAAATCAGCAGAAGAATTTCCCCACTAAATCTAGCAGAAAAAATTACCCGCTAATTTTAGCGGCAAAATTCCCCGCTAAATTTAGCGGAAACAATTTTTAGCTGGAAATATTCCTTGCTAGATGCAGTCGGAAAATTTAGCGAAAATTTCCCGTTAAATGGGAGGATAACAAGAAGGGGAGGGGGAGGAGGGGCATGCCCTCCCTTCCATACCCTCCGCTCCTTCTCCTCAAGAGCTCCGCTCTAATTCAGCATTGGAGAAAATTGTAAACATCTTTAATTTTTTTAAAAATTGTTTTAGTTTGAATTGATATACCTACAAACAACCTCGCTATGGAAATACTACGAAGGAACACTTGGCATTTGTGTGCATTTCCTTTTTTTTGTGTGCATCATTGCTCCTTTCTTGGCTCTAAAAACTTTTGACAAAGTTATAAGTGACCATTTCTCATAGGTAGTATATACGTGAAGGTATGTGCGAGACATACCTTCACTCTAGTGGAATACAGTTCCAAGGTCAGCTTATAGATGGTGCCACCGTGTCGGTGTGTTCTCTCGTTGCGAGATATCGCAAGACGTTGGTCGTTGGCAAACGCGAGTGTGTAAATGGGGCGTAACACCGGTGCGTTTGTACTGTGAAATGGTTATGTGATAGCACAAGCGTGGTCAAGTTGCTGGCTGTGTTTCTTGAGACTTTTAACAGCCAAAGATAAAGCATTATTACTGGTACATTATGGTCATTTTCAATATTTTGTAACTTCAGTAATCTTGGAAAAAAAGTGCACCTAATTTTTAAAACCCGAGCTCCATTTGAGATAGTTTTTTTTTTAAATTTTTTTATTGAGGTTGGTGGAGTTTCGTAAATTCTACCACCTGTTCAGGGAAGGAGGCAGTGTGCCTCTAGCTGGCTGTGCTATGTATGGCCAAAAACGACAAGCCATTGTTGCGGAAGAGTTTTATGACTTTATTATTCCATCCTTACGTCTCCACTCGTTGCTTCCTCTGAAAAAAAAAAAAAAAATCTAGCCATTTTGTCAATGCCCTTTTTGTGTGTATGTAACTGTCTCCCCTGCATACTGCAGCGGTTTGCTTTTTCTTCTTTTTTACAAAAAATATTTTGTCCATGAAACAGCGCAAGTAACTGTAATGTTATGCATCGAGTCAACACACGCACACTGCACAGTAGAGCACTACCGGTGCACGTACAGCTACCGGGGAAAGAGAAACCGAGAGGGAGATGACGGGAATATTGGTACGGTTGGAGTGCACTTTCCTTCTGCCACTAGCGATGCGACAGGCTACACTTTCCCCGCAAGGCAGCGGCTTTCGCCAAGGCAAGGCGCGTGCGCCATATGAGCTTTACTATTCGTTTGGAGTTGCGACATGAAAAGGAAATGGAACCAAACTTTACAGTCTTTTCTTCAAGTACGCAAATTCGTAATGTAACCGTAGGCCATTGGTTTTGACCGTTGTGCTCACGCGAGTGTCGTCTACGATTTGTGGCATTCTATGAACCTTGATGAGGGAAGGTTTGCCAATGAGTGTTCAGCCACGTTTACTGAGTACTCTTTAAGGGAAGGGTGGATGGTACTGCCAGGGAATTCTTGAGTTCAAAAGAAAACTTGTCCCCATCTGCAGATTTTTATGCTCCTAGGTAATTCTGACAAACGTTTGAATGCTGTACGAGCTTTTGTTTAACTTGGTGTGCTCTTACTTTGGGGAAAAGCTGCGAGTATCTCAAGAAGAGATAGAATGCCTGGCTTAAAGTACAAGTTCAACTGAAAGAATTATATCCCAACTGAGAAACCTAACCTTGAGTTAGGTTTTCTTACCCTAGTTGTTTTGTACAAATTTGAAGATGGTATGCCATTGTATTTTTGTCAGAGACACATTTATAAGACTGTTCCAATATTTCTCCATGTCCCGGTTTCATTATTTCTCCGTGATTTCTCAAAGTACTTGGTGTATCAAGGAACGGCCAAGCTCTTTAAACTGACCGCAAACTTCGGTTTCTTAACCTATAGCGTTCCAATTTTGTACAGTGTTGGCCACAGGCGGTGCATTTTTTCTATAAAATTCGCAAAGAGCGAGCTTACCTGAGGAAAAAGTAAGAAAAGAAAAAGGCTTAACTCCTATGGAAACGCAGCGAAGCCACTGGTCTTCAAACCACGGGCGCCCTATGGTCTGAAGACCGGTGGCTTCGCTGCGTTTCCATAGGAGTTAAGCCTTTTTCTTTTTTTACTTTTTTCTCAGGTAAGCTCGCTCTTTACGAATTTTATAGAAAAAATGCATCACCCGTGACCAACGCTGTACAAAATTGGAACGCGATAGGTTAAAAAACCAAATTTTGCGGTCGATTTAAAGAGCCTGGCCGCTAATTGATACACACAGTACTATCATGTCCATCAATAAGACCTGCTAACCTCTGCCTGGCTTCAGCAATGAAAGAAAAGAGCACAGATGGAGCATCATGTTCGCAGAGAGAAGTGCAAGCCTGATTGCTATCGCTGATTCTCCCAATTCAGTACTCTTCAATCCTGATTCAGCTGCTGTTTATGCAGACGTGTTAACTGAAACTTTGGTTCAGTGGACTTGTACAACATCAAACACTTGGTGACGACTGTCCGCAAGGAATGATTTACAGTATTCACAGTCTCTTTGTAGCAAGTCTTTAGGAGGGTGTGGATAAGAATGTCCGATGAGTATTTTTCACGCTGCCGCATTGATTATATACTACATCATGTGCAGATCGTTATGTGGAAATGTTTATATTAGGTGTTAATTAGGAATTCAAAAATTGCCCCCTAAACAGAAAGTGCTGTACTGGGGAAGTTGAATACTGAGGAACCTGCGATAAGTTATGACACAATGAAACTGTGACATTTTTGCACTTCTGAAGTTGACCTAAATTGACTTGTATCATCTTGCCCTAAAGAAAGAGGTATTCGTAATGAGCTTTGCTTTGTCTACCCTCTTTGTGTGCGGTATCACAATTTCCATTGACAACATATTTGGCAAGCTCAAAGCATCAAGTTTGTGCTCACCTTAGAGCTCTGCTTGTGGATGTTGCCTTAACACTCGCGGTTTCTTTATAATACAAAGTTAGGCTCACTGTACAGGTATGTATATATATGTATATGTATAGATATAAGTTCTATGCTTTGATATAATTTAGATTTAGGGTGCTTTAGCATAATACAATATCTACACTGATATAGAAGCCATCTGCATGTATGTACAGTGATGTAGAAACATTCGTTGAGGATTTCTTTTGGCCAGTTGTGCAAACATTCAACGAAAGTTCCGCAGCTGTTGCAATAGTCTGCTGCCTTTTGGGAGTTCTCAGTGAATGCTGAACAGTTTATCACTTTTGCTGCGATCATACGTGCAAATGGAGAGCATACCAAACACTCCGAAGAAGGTTGCACACACTGCCGTGGACTTTGATAACTCTTCAAAGCAGTCACGCTGCAACAGTCACTGTTACAGTCTCTTCGGTCGGGCCGGTCGGTCTGGAAGGGTATTTCTTATCTAGCATCACCTCTGTGAGATGCGGTGATGGTAGTTCTTGGGTCTCCGTTATGATTCCTAGACGGGTGTGTAGGAAGTGGTGGAGGACATTGGCAAGGGTCTTCGGGTCTCCTTGCCTGACCATTTGTGCTTCTGCTTAGTTTTTTTTTTTTTTTCTTACTTTGATTTTTGTGGAGGAGACATGGCCAAACTGGATAGAGGGCAGCCTCTTTTTATTGGAGGTGGTGGAATCTGTCGGAACGGTAGCAAGAGCAAGGTTTGAGGGTAGATGTTCTCTTCCGTGTCCCGATTGCCAAACTGCCACGCAACAAAGCGTCTAGTGAACTGATATTTTTTTTTTCTTAAGTTTGTATTCCAGATGCAAGAAGCTCTCCTCTTCTGTAATTTCTTGGGAGCTTCATTCCCCATGAGGCAAGTCACTTAGGCTTGTAAAAGACAACAAAACTTCTAAATTTTTGCGTTATCTGAGTTTTCGTCGGTGACGAATCAAGATGCATAATCCAGTTGAGAACCATAGAATCATAACAAATAAATTATTTTTGAATTAACAGTCGGTGAGGGCACTGTTGACTTTAACGACATCGGCGACTGCTTCAGGGCTTTTTGTGTAGGATGCTCTTGTGGAAGGCTTCATGCTTCAGGGTCTCAGGTGAGTTGCCTATTGGTAGGATAGCAGGACTTCTTTGTACTCGTGCAGTTTGTGCAAAGATAGAACTCTACCATATTAGTCTTGCTCAGATATGAATACTGCATCACTGCAGGCTTACATTAGTGGGGCCCTAAAGATAGATTCTTTGCCCCTGAGTTGCTGTCTCTGTAGCTTGAGTAAAACAAAGAAGGCAACTGATTTAGGACTCCTCCCTAGCCTCTCTTTGATTTGGGCTATTCTGCTCTTAAGGATGTGTCCTAGATGCCCCAGGGTGCTTTGTGCTTTTGGAATGTGTGTTTGCTTCTTTTCTTTTGTTGTAATCTGAACAGACTAGGAGAACTTTTCTTTTGATGGTGCATATTAGGGCATTCGGTTTGCACCTTGCAGTTAATATTCCTCTGCAGAATGTCTTGCACTATGGCAGCTCTTCAGTGGCAAGTATTTTTGGCTACAGAGGATTTACCGCTTTCCATAGTCTGCACGAAATTTACACTTGGCACCTTGGTTGAATCGAATCCAATCAACTTGAATGACTTCCACTTTTTGATTTTGTGCTTGGGCAAAACATGCAACAACGTCAAACAATATCTGATCATCCAGGTGACTCCAATGTTCACCAGTCACATAGAATAGACTGCTTGTTCAGATCTATTTTTGGGCTTCCTCGCTGCTTTTGTACTGTTGCTGCACGTCATTCGGGCGCTGGAAGCAAATGCCAACCATTTTCAGCCTCGCTTTAGTGGTCGTGCACACTTCCCACGTTGCTGGAATACCATAGACAGCTGAGCATGTCTGATTGGAAGAATAAGAAAGCAAGGTGACCCTGTACTTGGAACAGCTCTCATGGCTGTCATGTGCCATCTCTTCGGCACTCATGCATTCAAAAGCAGCCGTAAGTAAGCTCTGTGATCATGCTGCCCTGATGTCTGGAAGGGCAGGTGACGCTGCATCGGAGCTTCCACGCAGGTGGGCATGCGGTGACCCCGCAGATGCGGGTTAGAAGCGTACCCCGCCCTTCACTTCGGGTTTCACGGCCCACGAAACAGGCTGCCAGCAACTTCTTAAGGCTTTCCGGCAGGCTTCCCATGCCCGGCTTGCGTGTCCCCACATACCACAGTGAGCTACACATTCAAGTTCTAGTCACACAGGACTAGACTTGTTGCACTCGTCAAAGGAAGCGTCATTGTTGTTCCCGTTGGACGTCTTGCCGCGCTTGTCGAGCAGCAGCACTCCGTCCCCACCTCTATGACTTCCAAAGGATCCTCGAGGCTCGAGTCCTGCTGTGGGCACTGACGGCACACCATCGTCTCCCTGATCGGTTAGGATACGAATCTTTTGGATCATTTCGCGGATCTCGTATCGGAGGATGCCCAGGAAGCACAGTTTGAGGAAGGCCATCACACAGAAGCCGAGCACGCACAACAAGTCTGCACTCCGCTGGAGCCAGCGTAGCAGGACCTCGTGGCAGCCAGTCTGGTAGGCACCAGAGCCGTGCTGGAAGCAGGGCTCTGATGGCCCGTCCCTGAAGGGAGATGTCAGGGGACAGCAGGAAGGTGGCACCTGTTGTCGTAGCCAGGGGTAGGCCGTCCGTTGTTCGCGGAGCCACGCCGTCGCGTTGAAATCCTGTGGGCCGTCGACCCCGCAGCACTTGGTCTCGCTCTGGAGTCTGTCCCAGAGCAGCCGGTAGCCAGGTCTGAGGCCGTAGCCGTCCTGGAAGCACACATGGTAAAATGCAACTTGAACAAGACTTAGACAAGGTGACACAACATCACATCCATAATGGTCGGGTATTCTCTTGTTTGATAAAACGGAGCTGCATGGGAGCAGTATAGGGGCCTGTCAAAATTCCCTAATTTTTAAAGCCGGTTGCTCTCAAGCCCGCTTTCCGCCGGCGCACTCGCGTCAAGCTTTACCGCTTCGCACCGGTGCTCGCGTGTAAAGCTTTAGCGTTTTGCACAGGTTTCTCGGAGAAGCAGCCGACTCGAAGGCGCACCCTGGTTAGCTCGGTGGGATCGGAAGTTTGTTGGGGTGGACATTCAATATATTTTTTGGCTATATTAAATGTTTAAAAGGTAGGGCGTGGGCGCTTATTGTGACATGGGCACAGGCTTGCTATTCTCCGGTAGATACACACATGCTGTGGCCCTTCCACACATTTTTCCTACTTCCCCAGCACCATACGGTGCAGCAGCACGACGGAAAAGTGATGCACAGAAGGTACTCTTAAGGCTGGTTCACACCCTTGAGACTGCTTACGACCGAGTGCCTTAAAAGATCTTAACCATTTGATGCCCAGTTTTGCTCGGGAGCAACACTTCAAGAATTATTTAATTTCTTTTACGCCATGTTTGCCTCCCTAAATTTAACGCCCTCTGTGGCAAGGGCGAGGATACCTCCATTTAGCGGTGAAGAATCGAATTGCATCGTCAAAACAGATCCCTTGTCCTTTAAAACCTAATCTGACAGGGGATGGGAAGTAGGATGGTGTGCACGACTGACGTTGAAACCCTGATAAGAAAAACTAGCGCAGATATTGGAAATCCAGTTACAAGTGTCTCTACAATGTGAAATGCAAAGTGCACCTGTGCCTTTTCCCAGGCCGTAACTGCTTTCAGTCATTGGACGTAAAATGATGTTGCAAATGCCCAATGTTGCTTACAATCAACATTTCGAAAACATACACACGAAAAAACGTAATATTTTTTCTGAGATGAGATTTCTGTTAGTCTGTGTGTTATAAAACGGCGTCACAATTTCTAGGTCTCCAGTATTTCAAGTAAAGGCCTTGTAACATCTCTCGTCGTGAGCGGTCACAAGAGGTCGTAATGCACTCGGTTGTAAGCAGGCGTATGTGTGTGAACGATCCTTTACACGGTTTTTGGCATAATGCTTCCACCTGTCCGCTCCAAGCACGCTACAAACATGAACGCTGCTTGCCTGGAAGTCGTCCATGAGCCCGTCGCGGAGTCCAGCGACCAGGTTGCGGTACCGGAAGAGCCAAGCGAGCCCCGCGAGGGCGTCCCCAAGCAGGAGGCCCAGCAGGAGTCCCCAGTAGGCGTGCAGCAGCCGCTGGTTCATGCGAAGTGCACCCAGGCACCCCAGGGCCTGGAGGAGTCCGCCCTGGAGCAAGAGTGCCGGAACGGCGTACGCGAACGTCGGGTCGGCCAGCTGCAGTCCGGGCACCAGGCCGGCCCGGTAGTCTGACAACACCCAGGCTGCTGCCACGGAGAATGCCAGCGCGCTGAGCAGGAGCGCCAGGTTGCAGGTGTAGATCCATAGCCTGCGTGGCGGCGAGAGAGAGAGACAGACCGCTTGAGTTGGGGGGGTCTTTGATGGGGACAAATAGGCAGCAAAAAGAGCTCAATCTGCAGAACCCAGGGATTGGCTTCTTTTTAATATGGTATGAATGAGCATCGTATTAGCCTGTGGTGTGTAATTACTACTGCATGATTACCTTGGAGGCCAAAGCTAGCAGTCCTACTGCTCTGGCCACCATGGCTCTGCCTGCCAATGTACGGTGGTGGCACGAGCCACCCTTCAGACTACCTTCCCTGTGTTTATATCTGTATGCAAATGTGACTTGACGGGCTTGACTTGGGGGACTTGGTAAAAAAAATAGCAACACGACATTGTTTTCATATACTTTCCTTATGCTTCGGACGATATTCTGGCTTTTGGTCGCTTTTCTCGTCGGTTCTTTCGCTAGTCGTCTATATCGTGGTATGTATGCTTTCATTTTCAGTGTCTTGTTTTTCCTTTGGACTTCTTATCGCACAAGTCCTTTTTCTTTCCAGCAAATATGGCGGCGCTCAAGGTAGCCGATGGAGATGTCGGCTGTTGAAATTGAAGGCACTGGAGTCGCTGCCCGACTCAGAGTTGAGCCATATCCATGAGTTCATCGAGATTTTGAGGAAGCCGGCACGATGGCATAGGGCTGTGCTGCCGAAGTTTCGCCGTGCATACGCAGTGACACTCGTCCCCCTGGCGGGGCGCGCCCATTGTTAGCAGTGCGAGGAGCAGACGACGCGGGAGGCTGGTGCGCCTGTCGTGCTGGCCTCGCGCTTCGTGAAGTATTGCACCGAAGACAAAATGGCAGGGAACTAGGTATTGCTGTGTAGTCAAATGCCACAGCATCGTATTAAACAGAAAGGTAAATATGCGTCTCCTGAAAAGATTTATTCCGTTCCTGGGAGGGGATTCAAGAAAGATCGCCAGCTGTGCAGAGGACAGGGTTAATTATTCTTGCTCTATCTTGTCGCATGATTCAGTAGGGCAGCTACGCTTACTTGTCACGTTAATAGGGACTTTTCGTAGATGACGCGCATGAGCAGGCGAGAGTTTTGCGTTGCTTGGGGGGGGGGGGGGGGGGGGGGAAGCCGCCACTGTGAGGGCGTACTGAGCTCGCTCCCGCAGGGCCCACAATTTGAAACTCGCGTTCTACGATAATTGTCTAATGTAGTAGCTACGATGGTTTCCCGTGGCTGTCGACAAAAGAAACCCGAATATGCAGTCACCATTCTTTAAACAACTTTAGATTTGAGAACCAAGCTCACTTTGCTTCCCCGTAAATTTTGTTCCTCCTCGATGCTTACAAGAGAAAGCGAGTAACGGCAAAATATTTGAGGCAAAATGAGACAGATAATCGTAGCCCTTTTTGTGTACTGACTTTAACGCATAATTGAGAAGAAATTGACGGCTGTACTCTAGTTTATATATATATTATTTGTAGTTGGCCCACAACAGGTATGTATAAGTACTTTCGAAGTAACTCTAAATATTAGACACTAGAACATGCCTGGGTCGACCAAATAGAGCGTGTTGGCAATGTTAAATGCATAAAATGAAAGCAACATAAAGGGGACCAGGACAGGAGACCTCACAAAGGTAAATAACTGAAAATGTGACTGAAATTCAAAATAAATTACATTTTCCGCTGGGAGAAGAAAGTAATATGAACGATCATTTTCTGGCGCAGGTTATTCTAGATATATAAAGTATAAATGTGCCTAAACAGCAAGCAAACCAGAAAATTGTGCAAAAAAACTTGTCACCCGAAACTGTGTTCAACGTTATCATTCTGGCGTCACATAAAAGGGTAAAAAAAAAGAAGACAACAACATTGCTGCAAATGTTGGTCTATTGGCGATCACTCTTTTTACTCATAAAAGTATGAGTGGGTTACGGAGACACGTGCGTGATTTAAGATTTTACCTCTTTGACGGCAGCGTACACGTACGTAAACACCACAAGGTGTCGCGGCGTGTAGTCAAAGTTCTTAATTTTGTTCGACCCGCTCAAAATGCCTGGGAACAGAACAGATGAGCTGTGGCCGTATTCGCGTGCTGCGGTCTGGCAGTGGATGCCTCGTCATTGACTTCATTCGCCCGAATTAAAATAGCCGCGGCATACTTCCAGCAGTCGGTAGCTCTTAATAAGAACACTCGCCCGAGTCCAAGCAGTGTGTGCGCCAGCGCAGCTGTGCGCGAAGCGACAGTTTGAACAATATAGCATCCTCATCTTTGTCCGAACCTATCTGAATGTCAAGACCGAGCAAAACCATAAAGATAACCAGTATTTATCTTTAGGCGCATGTCATAGGCGGCGCTGTCTTGCACTTGCGAGACGCATTTCGCTGTCGGCAAATGCTCTTATGCCAGGATTATCTCCACCCCGGAGATCTGTCACGCGGGCAATTTATTTATTTATTACAACCGCCACCTTTCTTTGCGGAGGTTTGCCTCCCTAAAAAAAAATTATCACTTTTTTTCAACAGACAAAAAACTCGAGGTACACCTAAGCACGTATGAGTTGCGAATGCGAAAGCATGCATGTCTTTTTTTCCGCTCCATTATTTCGTCTGCGGGGTACTTACGTCGACGGCAGAGCGCGCGCTCTCTTGGGCGTGAAGCCGCTGCCTCGCTTGGCGGCGAGACGCTTCGTGTGACTGGCGCGCTGGCGGTGCGGACACAATTAGCGTCGTGGCGTGGCGGCCGTTAGAACTGACGTGCGGCGGCCAATGGGAGCCTCGTTCCTTGAAACTATGACGTCTCCACCAGCCAATGGGACCGAAATCCATCAGATTTCGGCTTCACTCCGCTCCTTTGGGGTCGGGGATAATAGGTGCCGTAGGGCTAGGCTTTTCGTGCGGCTTCAAAGCTGGGAGCCACCAGATCGCGGCTTGGAGAAAGGAGCTTGGGTGCCGTTTGGCGCGGCTTCAAAGCTGATGACGTCGGCACGCTCCATGGGACATTGATGCTTTCGCTATAAAAAGCCGCAATAATATTGCAACGCGGTCGCAGTAGAATTGTAGTGTGTTCGTCGCCATTGCAACCGGGCCCGGCGGTTTTGTGGCAAAGCGCGGCGCCACTAGTACTGCTCCGGCGCGCCCTCTGGACAGCCGAACGGGACTATAGCACGGCGGAGTGGCCGGCGGCGACGTACCTGTAATACCTCATCGCTGTGTGTAGGAACATTGGGGCCAGCGGGGCGCACGGCTCCGTGGCGCCCGAGCTCGGCAGCACGGGCTCGCTCGGCTCTTCACTCGGCTGTTCTCCGGGGGCGCCACGGGCTCCGATGCTTCCGCCGCTGCTGCCGCTGCTGCTGTCGTCGCTGGTCGCAGACGGGCTACGGCCCAGGGGCCCGCCGATGGGCAGGCTGCACTCCTGCAAGAATCCGGACAAGCGTAGCACACTTCAACAGAGAGACCTCTCGCAAAAATCCCGAAAGGCCGCGCGCGAAGCTTGCGAGAAATGATGGGAATGTCCGGTATGCTTCTGATAAACCTTTTGCAAATATCCCAGAAGTCCGCGCGCGAAGCTCGCAAGGAATAATGGGAATGCCCTGTATGCTGCCACAGCGTCTACAACCCGACACCAAAGGGAACGAGGGAGGCAGAAGGAGTAGCGCACTTGACAATACCTGATCGATAGAAAGGCTGAAGCTCGGGTTTTCGTATATGTCACCTACAAGGGGCCAGCTCTAGTCGCACATCGGACGCCAGTTATACGTTAAGTGTTCGACGCGGACTCGTGTTCAGTCGGTGAGAGTACGACTCCGAGCCGAAGTGAAGGCTTGAGCAAAAGGTGAGAGTACGACTCCGAGCAGGAGTGAAGGCGTGAGCGAAAGTGTGAATGTACGCGTTTGAGTTCCGGCGCGCTTTCCAACTTCTCCGCACGACAGGCGTGCGTCGGGAGAAGCGACCTTGTCAGCCGGGCTCGTTCTCCCTTTTTGCGTCGAAAGCTGCATATCAAATTTGTAAAAAAAAAAAAAAAAAAAAAAAAGTTTAGTTTTATTATTACCAGTAGAGCCAGAACGATAGCAGCGACAAGTAACGGCGAAGTCGCCGGGCATCAGCGCCGCGTTCACACACCGTGGTGTGTGAAAAAAAGCGTTCGGAACAGAACTTACATCAGAGTCCGGACCCATTTTGTTCAGAACGCTTTTGTTTCTTGTTTCTTGATCCGGAGCGCGTGAAAGGGCGTCTGTAGGCACGAGCTCTTGGCATTGACAATGCTACACGGTGGCATTTTACAGCGGAGCTGGTTAGGGCTAGTTTCCCCAGTTTCGTGTCCGTGGACAAATAAATCTCGACACGACCCTCTGGACAGCTACCGCCATCTATGAGCGACGGCGGCAACCGGCTTGCCTGGTTGCCGCCGTCTCTCATAGATGGCGGCACATAGTACAGCGGGCTGCTCTTCCTTCTTCACCAGAGTGAAAAGTATGAAAGTTTTTGTTATCGGCTTTTCATTTTTACAGAGAGCGCAAGCAGTGGGCATCGGATAATAAAAAAACAACAACAAAAAACCCAAGTTTAAAGCGGATTATTAACGCCGTCTTTGCTCAATATATTACTTTACATGCTCAAGTGAAATGTATCGTGCACTTTTATTTTTTTGCCTACTGTCAAAAAAAAAAAAAAAAAAAAAAAAAAGATTGTGCCGTAGTGATAACCTTTCCTCGCACGCAGCGGACTTAGGTTCGATAGGTTCGATTACCCCGGAGGACGGCCGATGTTTTTCGAGGATTTTATAGCACCGAAAATGGACGCCCTATCTCGTTATCTGCAACATCAACTACGACAACTGGGTGTTTCCACGTCAGAATCGTACAATGATGGTCAGAATCATTTTTTTATGTTTATGTAAAAAGAAATATTAGTTAAAGCCATGTCCTTGGGAGGATCATTCAGCTATACGCGAAAGCCGTACCTAATTGTCTTCCGGAGGTATAAAATTTTGAATCTCTAAATGTGTAGATGCCAAGGTTTCGATATTGTACTCTCCACACACGTCAATTTCACACCGAACCATGCACGTCGTAATATTTTTTTAACTTATTTTATGAAATGTCTGCTATATATATGTACGCAGAATTTGAAAATTACAATAAAATATTTCTATATATATATATAAAAAAAAGATTAGTACGAAACACGCCAAATAAACACGTTTTAAAGACTCGTTCACAAATTATATAGAAAGCAACTACCCTTATATAAAACGACGCAAAATAGATACAAAAATAATCTTTAAATGCATTTTACGAATATATAGGAAAAATGTGTTTAGCCATTAATGCACGTTTGTTATTAATGCGGAACGCGGCTCATTTTCTCGAAATGTGGCAAAATTGGCACGTAAAAATGAAAAAAAAACTTATTTTTTAACCGTTTCATGTGACGATCTAACTTGTGATGGCAAAACATTGAGTAACATATAATCTCTTTAAAGGAAAAAGAATGATAACAAGCCTTCCCTCAAATTGAGCTAGCTTGTCTTCGTTATAGGGGCCTTGCCGCACGACCTCGGCTCCATAGAGACATTTTCTAGGACTGACAAAGGCGGTACTGCTCTATCGTACAGCGTAAAAAAAAAATGTTAATAGTGTCCCTAGTTTAGTTTTATATTTGAGTTTCCTCGCGTTGCCTCCTTTCGTGGTGTCTGAGACGTCGCTTACGTTCTTCTCGGAGATTAGCCCACCATTCAAGACCTGTACAAAAGTGCGCTGGAGAGGAGGCCAGTCCTCACGCCTCTTGTCACTCTCACTAAAACCGTGCAGTACAGTCAAAGCTGCAGGGAAGAGAGCGTATGCCAGGCTGTTCAAGAGAAGGGAAAGGAGGAACAAGACAGAAGGGCTGGGTTTCCCCATTTTTCCCCTCGTGAACAGGTCGGGATACACTCTCTTCCCCGTAGCTTTGCCTGTACTGACGCGTTGGTTGGGTCACTGAGAGCGGAGCCTCCGCCGTTTGCCAACTTACGGCGGGACGGAGTAGAGACCTGTCCACCCAACTCGCTTTCATTGTCGCTATAAAGGGCTTTATCTGAGCAAAGGATCGACCAAAGAAGGGTGGGACGGGGTAAATCGGGACAGGTCATCGTCCGATCGCAAGATCGGCAAGACCCGGGAGTTGGGAAAGAGGGGGCGACGGCGAAACGGAGAGTATACCGCAATCGACGCCTATCAGATTGCGATCCCGGCTCGGTAGTAGATCTGGAAACGCCAGGGCCGCACCGCTGTGCCACTAATCAGGAAAGTCGGGTCCTCGATCATCTTTGCTTTTGTTTTTATCCGCTCATGGAGTCTCGTCGGAGCCTGACGAAATCGAACTCTGCCTGTAAAGAATCCTTCACACACTTGCGACTGTTTACGACCGTGTGCCTCAAAACCTCTTGTGATCTCTCGCGAACACACGGACGCCATCTTATCGGATAGTGGTGGAACATTTGCAGTTCGCGTGTATTTCTTTTTTCGCTCATCGCTGTTTTTTAAAAAAAATCTTTTGGCAATGTTATAGCCGACCATTTTTTATGAATAGCTGGTGCATTTCATCTCGCAAGTATACCGCAAAACCTTCGTGAAATGCAATTCCTGGGTCACCTCATCGATGACGCGAGCGTGCCACTGTGTCTTTTCACGACGTAAAGGCCCGTTCTTCGAACTTGCCGCCGACTACGACCAAATGAGACAAGACCGGTTTTTAAGCCTCTTGCAACGGCTTACAAGCGGATGCGCTGTTGAAGAGCCGTTCGCAAGCCGTCACAAGTCGCATAGTCAGATGCAAGTCGACGTGTGAAGAAAGGCGGCCTAGCGGAAGGCAAAGCCGAAGTCGGAACGAACGCGAAGCCGTATCTAATGAGATAGATGCAATGACGGGGCTATCTAAGCTTTTCGTTTCTCGACGCAACGCTGTCAAACGCACGCAAACGCTCTCAAAAAAAACTGTGCGTGGGAGCCTTAATACTTGAAGGTAAATTGATGGGGATCGTTCCAGTGGTCGCCACGGGACCCGCCTAGGCACTACTCCGCCGCTACCAATCGAGTACGCCACACGGGGCATTCGAGTGACAAATTTTTGTAAGGATACCGGAAACTCGGAAGTGGCTCGTGGTGGCAATATAATCCGCAAACGGGTATAGTTTGGTACTTATAGCTCGACGCGCGTAGATAGACTCCCGCTTCAAAGCGTACGCTTTACTCTGACGGTTCCCCTCGCAAGCGTCGTTGTGGTCAGAGAATAATTTGATTTGGCTGGTTAGCGCAGTCGAGGTATAAAGCAGGGCCGCCAAATTATTTCTTATTTTGGCGAACGAAGTTAGATTTACGCATGAATTTTTTTTTTGTCGGGCTTAACCTGAGAATTGAATCTTCGTCCGGCCTGCCTTATTATCGAAGATATTGCGCGCCTGCTCACTCTAATTTATGTCTCGCGCAGGGCTTCGTCCGAGTAACTTTTTTTTTTTTTTTGGTTTCTACTTTCTTGTTTTGTCCTTAATAACCCGAAACACCCCATTTTTAATTTTGTTTAAAATTTATTCCGGGTTTCTTAACGTCTGCTTTAACGGAGCAACCTTATTCAACCTCGTTCCATTCACTCGGAAGTTTCTTGCTCCTTTTGATCCCCCTCCGTTTTCAGTTTAATTCTGTTTTTACGTAATTGGAGTCGAACTGCAGCTTCTACCTTTCTAATGAAAGGAAAAAAGAATGGGGGGTGGGGACGATTTTTTTTATGACTTTCTCCTTTCCCGCCCATTTAATCGTACAAAATTCGTCAGCGGAAAGCGAATGTACTTACAAAATAAGGATGTTAATACAAGACGCGATGTCCCATTAATTATATGCCATTCAAAGAAAGAAAAAAAGAGCGAGTACAAAGTGTAGCGAATTTTTAGTATTCTAGAAACTGTCTTTTCATAGGGACATATGGTGCAACGTTCGGGTTTTAATGACATGGAAATATAACGAACTATATTTATAAGCGGACAGTTGATTAGTGATAGGGATTCTCCTTAAGCCTTTATTTCTTTTCCTCGGCGTTTGCGAAATGGTTTCTAAACAGCATTCCAAGATCGAATTTTCGGCCAAAATCCCCCAGGAGACCGAGTAACATTTCCCAATCGGCTTTAAAATTCAGAAGAAAAAAGAGAAAAAAAGAAAACGCGCTTGCGCTTTCGCGTTCTTTTTTAAATTTTTTATTTGTCCATGTCGATGCATTTCCCTTTATATAGGCTATAGCTGGCTCCGTGCTTTTAAGATCTCATTTCGACAC